TAAGCCAAGGCAGAAAAGGCAGGTTGCTTACCTGTAACTGATGTTCTTCGAGTGGCCATCTGTGCAGTCACACATACGGGTGCTGCGCCTGCACAGTGCCTAGGCCAGAAGATTAAAAAGCTAACGGTTTTTGGCATGAAAACTCCCCTCCCCCTTCATGGTATAAATAGAGCAGAGTGTTTGCCATTTTGTTCAGTCTTGAAGACCGAACGTTCGCCCTCTACAGGTTAAGAATAAAATTAATGACAAACAGCATTGTACCCCAACGGTACTGATACAAATTATAGTACGGTACCGAGAACAATATCCACTCACCAGCATATACCATCGGTACCGATGCAAATTACAGTACGGTACCGAAAAGCAGTATCTACTCATCAACACCGAGTGGGGCTGGTGGGTGGGTTGTGTGACTGCACAGATGGCCACTCGAAGAACATCAGTTACAGGTAAGCAACCTGCCTTTCTTTGTCGTGGCCTCTGTGCATCACACATATGGGTGATTAGCAAGCTTACCCAACTCAGAGGAGGGAGGTGTCGTCAGTGAAAAACAGACAAAAGAATAGCCCTGCCAAAAGAGCAATCCTGCCTAGCGCGCACATCAAGCCGATAGTGCTTGGCGAAAGTGCATGGCCCTGCCCACATTGCAGCTTTACAGATATCTTGAAGCGGAACCCCTGCGGCAAAGGCGAACGAAGTCGCAACAGCTCGTATAGAGTGACCCCTCGGGGTAACATGTAAGTCTATTTTTGATAGTTGATAGGCCAAGACAATAGTCTGGGTGATCCAGTGCGACAGCCATTGAGGTGTGACTGGCAGTCATTTGTCATGTTCGGAGTACTTAACAAAGAATCTATTTGTGCGACGGAAGGATTCCATATGGGAGCGACAGAAAGCCAAACGGTGGCGAACATCAAGGGTGTGTAGAGCCCGCTCTATTGGATTCGACGGCGCTGGATAGAACGCTGGCAGAACAGTATCTTGACTCAAGTAGAATGGTGTAGCGACTTTAGGAAGAAACGAAGACTCCATATGAAGAACGACCTTTTCCTTATGGAAATTAAGATATTTGGGGTCTATGCGGAGAGCAGAAAGCTTGCTCGCTCTCTGAACTGATGTCACCACTATGAGGAAAGCTGTTTTCCAGGACACCAGGCGTAGGTCGACAGTTGCCAGCGGCTCGAACGGAGGTTTGGTAAGTGATTGGAGTACGACTGAAAGGCTCCACGTTGGCATAGCCAGGCGAATAGAAGTGTGTAAGTTCTGTAACCCCCGAAGAAAACGTTGAAGCAGAGGTTGAGAGAAAACTGATACCCCTTGAACCGCACCACGATAGTGTGAAATGGCAGCTGCATAAACTTTAATGGATGATGGTTTCAGTCCCAAGTGATAGAGTTCCAGGAGAAATGGCAAAATATTGTCAATTGAGGCCATTCCAGGAGAAAAAGAATGGTGTTCTGCAAAGGAAGAGAATCTCTTCCATTTAGCCGCGTAAGAGCGACGAGTGGACGGTCTTAAAGCAGATTTAAGAATCGCCTGAATTTCTTGGTCAACAGTCGGTAGTGAAGTGGTTGCCATAGAAACCGATGTAGGGGCTGTCGGTACAGTACAGTGAATACAGTCCGCTAGAGGTTGGGATGTCGGTACCGACGCAGCGGAATGACTCAAGTGATCCGCCATGCCGTCAACCTCAAGGCAGTCAGATCTGGATGTCGGACCGCTCCATTTTACTGCATTAATAGCTGAGGAATAGACGGGAGGTGAAGAAACGTTCCTTTGGATAGACGTAGACGGGTGGCGAACCACGGTTGTCTCAGCCACCATGGAGTTATTATTATTCCCGTGGCATTCTCTTGAGATATTTTCACTACCACTTTCATTAGAAGTGGGATTGGAGGAAATGCATAAAAGGCTATGTTGTCCCAGGGGATCATAAGAGCATCTCCCATCGATCCTGATCCTATGCCCACCCTGGAACAGTATAGGGCCCACACTCTGTTGTCGCAAGTGGCAGACAAGTCCAAGTCCAGATAGTCCCACAAACGGAAGAGGTCCTGGCATATTTGTCTGTCCATCTCCCATTCGTGTGTTGTTGACATATGTCTGCTCAACATGTCTGCTTCGGTGTTGTTGGTCCCTGCGAGGTGGACTGCTAGAAGCATTATGTCCCTCGGTATGCACCAGTCCCAAATGGCCATCGAGAGACATGCTAAAGTTGGCGATTTAGTGCCGCCCTGCTTGTTGATGTAGAAGATAGCTGGTATGTTGTCTGACGCAATCTGGACGACTTGTCGGCATAGCACAGTCTCGAAAGCCTTGAGGGCATTGAAGATTGCCTGAAGTTCGAGGAAGTTGATGTGCTTCCTTGCTTCCCGTCGGTTCCAAGTCCCCTGGACCTGAAGATCCAAACATGTTGCACCCCATCCAAGTAGCGATGTGTCTGTATACAGGGTCTTTGTTGGATGAGGTGTTCAAAATGGGACACCGACAGACAGATTGCTCGGAATGGTCCACCAAGCTTAGAGTGTCGAGAATCACAGACGGAATTTGGATCAGTTTGTTGGGAGAATCTCGCTGTGGGCGAAACGAAGTGTTGAAAAACAGCTGCATGGCCTGCATACGTAGTCTGACTTACAGAACAATGGCAACTGCAGCAGCCATGTGCCCCAATAGTCTCTGAATGGATATAGCCGGAACCGTTCTGAGCGTTCAGATTCGATGGATGTGGGCACATAAGGTAGCTCGACGGTCTGGAGGGAGGAAAACTCTTTCCCATATGGAATCGAGACGTGCCCTGATAAAGTCGATGACCTGCGTGGGAATAAGGGACGATTTTTTGTAGTTAATGCATAGCCCAAGATCATCGAGCAAGACGCAGGTCACGTGTATTGCAGACAGAAGACCTTGTTTAGTTTGGGAAACAATTAGCCAGTCATCTAAGTATGGGTATATTTGCACTCCTCGTGTCCATAAGTGTGCGCATACTGGTGCCATCCACTTTGTAAAACTCGAGGTGTGGTGGCCAGGCCAAAGGGCAGCACAGCATATTCGAACAAGTTGAGCCCAACAGTAAAACGCAGGAAACATCTATGCGAAGGATGGATAGCAATATGAAAATAGGCATCCTTCAAATCCAATGAGGCGAACCAATCCTCTCTCTTCAGTAATGGAAAAATATTCTGTAAAGTGGTCATCCGAAACTTTTTTGGTTTGATGTATTTGTTAAGATTTCCTAAGTCCAAAATCGGACAAAGACCACTGTCTCTTTTCGGGACTGTAAAGTATCTGGAGTAGAATCCGTGCAACCCCTCCGAGCAGGATAGTTGTTGAATCGCACCCTTGCGAAGCAACTGAGAGACTTCTTTGCACAGTACCAATGAAGAAGATGTAAATCGAATCGGACACGGTGGAGAGATGACATCGAATTCTATCCTATATCCGAACTGAATGACAGACAACACCCACCTATCAGATGTAATGGACTCCCAAATGGGGAGTCGGCCCTGAAGCCCGTCCCCAAAAGGGAGAGGGGAAGGTGGTGTGGGAAGAGAGAGAATGGTTCGCCTGGACTGTCAATGTGGACGTTTATCAGCGTTGAAACGCCGACGGCCCTGGGAGAAACGTTGCTGCGGCTGTTGTCTCCGTCGCTGCCTTTGCTGGTAGTGTTGCTGAGGGTGGAATTGTGGACGATAGGAAGAACGAGGCCACTGCCACTTACGCCTCTGTTGAGGAAGCTCCATGCGGCATGCGGTCATACACGATTCATGTATCGCTTTTAGCTTGTGGTCGGTTTTTTGATGGAACAATCCAGTACCATCGAATGGCATTTCCTCGATCCTCCGTTTCATCTCGTTGGGGAAATTGCAATTGCGGAACCACGTGTGTTGGCACAGTGAGATGGCATTCACAAGAGCCCTCGAATTGGTGTCTACGTGATGCCGTGCAGTAGACAACTGTTGCACTGCCACCTGCACTGCTTCTTTGATGAAGACCTTGGCCAGTTCAGCTTGGCGGTCTAGAAGGGAGGAAGCAACGTTATCCAGCTTCTGCATAATAAAATACTGGTAAAATGCCGGTGTTGCTTCATAATTCGATATGTGCACACTGAGGCCGCGTAGACTCGGCACGTGAGCATATCGATTTTCCTCCCTTCCTTGTTGCAAGAGGCTGTGTGTCCCCTGGACTCCCTGCCCTGGGAGGATTCGACAACAGAGTTCGGTCACAGATGGTGAATCAAGAATGGGATGTCATCCTCTCGAACCCTGTACATGGCCTCATACCGACGGGAGGTGGCTTGCGGTTGGGCCGGTTGATCCCAGGGTTGGACCATAGCCTGCCGAAGTGTAATCATTAGCGGCAGGACTATGGCCGTGGACTGTTCTCCCCTCACGACATCATAGAACCGATCCGTGGATGGGCCAGGCTGTTGACTCGCTTCGATTTCAGGGGAACAGACGAGGTGGGACATGAGCTCCGTAAAAGAGACATGTGGCTCATCGAGTGAAGCAGGTCCTTGGGAGGCGACTACTACATCGGGGGATGTAGAGTCAACCTCAGATTCGTCTGAATCCGGATAATAAGGAGGATGGTCGCTCGAAGACGATGTTTTGGGGGAGGTTGGACGTCCCCTCTCCAAATGCCTGGACGTCGAAGGCGAATCTCTCGGGACCGATGGAGACGCATGATCCCGAGGGAAATATGGATAGGATTGGTAACAACCCCAGTCTGGGAAGGCACCATATCCATGCATCCTCCAATCATCATCCTGGTGTTCCGACGAGTGGCTGCGGTGCCTAGGCGGCAACGGTGACTCCGCAGGTGGCTCAGTCGTGGGCATTGGAGTTGGAGATCATTCCTTCGGTGGGGAGTTTCTAATCTCACCATCAGAGATGGGACTCCCGAAGCGGCTCCTCCACGTGTTGGGGTGGCACACTCTCAGGCTGAATGATAAGCCTGGGGGATCCCGGCGGTGTCACCTGCATAGTGAGTTGCAGGACCGGTCACAAAGGGGTTGGTACCGTGGCGGCAGACGTTACTGAGAAGCCCGACGAACCCGAGCCCCGGTGTTTGGGGCAATCGGGTTTCTTGGTTTTGCGAATGGGCTTATCTGCCTTCTCCTTCCTCGGTACTTTATGAGCAGAAGGCTTATCCGAACCCGTGTGCTTGCGCTTCTCCCGTTTCTTGGCTGGGGAAGAAGGCGGCACCTGGGTCTCCGCTGGAGTAGCACCTTCAGCCGAATGGCGCTGAGGAGGAGCAGTGGAAGCAGGACGCTTTGGAGGAGCGCTCACAGTTGAGGCAGAGCGTGGAGGAGGTGCAGCTGAAGAGGAACCAGGCTGTAAGAGCAGTTGATCAGATTGCATCAAGGCCTGGTCCCAGAGGAGCTTCCGGAGACGGTTCTCCCTGTTCTTCCGCGCTTGCTTGGTAAATGCCAAGCAATGGCTGCACTTGTCAGTTCTATGCCCCTCGCCGAGGCAGAGAAGGCATAGATCATGCGGATCCGCAGGCGACATTTTGGATCCACATTAGGTGCATTTGTGGAAGGCCACTCACTGCGCCATCATGGAAAAAGAAGAAAAGATGACAGGATAGAGGGTAAGATAATATTTTTGGGTTTTTGTTTTTTAGAATAGAAGAGAGAGGGATATACAAACTTGGAATATAAGATTTTAGAGTTAAAGAAGGGATGAAGGCAAAAACGGACAGTAAGGACTCAAAGATCTTAGCGAGGGACGTTAACAGGCACGAGGCACAGCGAACAGTGGTCGCAAAGATGGAACAAAATGGTGGACACTCCGCTCTATTTATACCACGAAGGGGGAGGGGAGCGGAGTTTTCCCGCCAATAACCGTTAGCTTTTTAATCTTCCGGCCTAGGCACTGCGCAGGCGCAGCACCCATATGTGTGATGCAGAGAGGCCACAACGAAGAATAACTCTATGTCTGAATAAATGAATTGATCTGTAATATAGTTCAGCAACAAAGAGGGTTGTTGTACATGACTGCTCTTCTAGTAATACTTTGCATAACACTCCATCTGCTGGCCAGTGATTATGTTGCAGTGCTCAAATAAAGTGTGCATTCTGTTATTTTTATGTCAACAGTAGTATTAACATTTCAGTTATCCTGTCATGGTGATGAATATTCTTTTCTGTTTATGAGAAACTCGATATATCTGAACCTCCAAGTCTGCCAACTTTGTACATATCCGTATTTCACCACTGTTCACCAATAGTCCCACACTCTTAAGTACATGTATATTACAATATTTGTATGCAGCCTTGCAACTAGAAAGATTCCAAGGCAGCTAACAATTATTAAATGTAAATGAAAATATAATCAGCAAACCAATAAAAAGCATCAATTACAAACATCCAACTTTTGTCTGTCTTGCTCTTATCACCACACCCTGCTTTGTGTACTATCCAACCTAATGAAGAGTTTGAGAACCCAAAGTCTTGCTCATAATTCTGTGACAGTTTGGTTGGATCAAAGAAAGGTATTGCACAGCTGTGGCTTTAGGAATTTTCTTATGGACACACTTTTTTAAATGAAAAGAATAACATTAGATAGCAGAATCCCATTATGATAAAAATACTGAAAGGCCTCCGAAGGAGAATCACTTATCCCATTTCTTAAAATGCAGAAAAGGAAGAGCAAAGAGTATCTTCCTAGACAGGCAATTTCACAATTTTAGTGCCACCCATCTAAACACCCATATGCAGATCTGGATCCAAGAACACCCCTAAGCAGCATTCCAAGTCTTGAGGCATGGCACCTGAAGGTACATCTACCCCCAAATCAAGGCCCTAAATCAGGGGTCTCAAACTGGCGGCCCGCGGGCCAATTGCCAGGATGGGCGGGGCACGGGGGAGGGGCCTTGCGGCCTGCAAAGCACTGACGGCAACCGGGCCGGCCACGGGATGAGCGGCCGACCACCACCGCAGTGGTGGAATACTTGATGTGGCCCAGCCTCACCCAGACTCTACTTCCAGCAGCTCCCAGGTGAGTTTGAGACCCCTGCCCTAAATGGTCCTAAATCTGAAGGATATCTATCTAGCCAGATCCTAAGGATATTGCTAGATGCCATCCTCAAGGTGCCTCCACCAAGAGACAAGGCACGTGGCTACCAAAGGGACTTTTCAGTAGGTGCCTAGTCTATGGAATGTCCTCTACAAAGCAGTTAATCTGGCACCTATGCCATTCTCAGGAATTTTAAGAACTGCTTTTGTATCTTAGCACTTTATTCTCCTGCTATTCCTCCTCCTCTGTTCTTTTATGGGGAGTTTTTAATCATTGTCTATCTTCTATTTTAAATTTACCTGTAAACTGCCTAAATAATTCTGGTAATTGCTTGGTCTATAAATGTAACAGCCTTGAAAGGCTTCCTAATCAGTAACACTTGCGTTTTGTCTGAATTAAGCTCATCCAGCACATTGCTGACTCCAGACACTGGTTCAGAAGTTCCTCCCTAGGATCCAGCAGAAACACAGAACCTGCTCAGTTCATTAATATATTGCTCCTACGCCACCTCAAGTCACCAGGTACTTCTTCCCAGCAATCTTTGATTTGCCAAAAAAAATTGTCTACTTGTGTAACTAGGGTTCTTCACATGTTCATCTGTGGTTATGAGTTTGTGCAGAACATTGTTTGGAACTTTCCAGAGCATAGCTGAGATTTGATAAAGTCTTACCCCCTCCTTCAAACACATTCACAATATGGCTTCCACCAAAGCCTAGATTCCAAAGCCACTGCAGCAGGTAGGAGGATAGATTGTATGAACTCACATTTGAAAAGCCACAGGGTAAACAACCTATTCTTCCTCCTTGTGGTCTCTGCATCTCAAACATGTGTATTTACTAAGAACCAACTATTAGAAACAGATGGCAGCTAATACAAGTTAAGATAGCATTTGTCTTTTTAGATTGTAAGGCTGATACAGCCTCTCCCCCTTTGAAATGAATGGGAGCTGTTTTGGGAAACAATGCTCTGGTCTGGAAAACAGCTGATGGGTATGCTCCTTCTTTCCCTCAAGCAAAATTTCCCATATGAGTCACTTCAAACTGTTAATGGGTGTCTTTCTAAGCATGTCTTGGCCTCAACCCTTTTACAGAAACTTTCAACACAGATAAAGTGGAAGAATGGAAAGAGGAAGATCTGATGGTGCATAACACCAGGGAAACCTTGTAGAAAGGTGGTTAACTTAAAGTCCAGGAGCTAAAGTTGGCCCACTGGGATTCCTCTGACATCTGTGTCCTCTTCTCTGGATTCTATCCCTTTTCACCCATTCACCAATCTTTGGGTTGCTTCCTAACTTTTTGTGCAGTCCTTCCCTCCCACAATTCTGGTAAGTTGAAATATCTTCCCTAAAACTTAATGAAAGCAGGAAGAACTAAAAGCTACACTATGACAGTATTTTTGTTTCCACACTTTTGTGTTTGGCTCTATCCACCACTGGAATGGCATCTCTGAGAGGTCTTTCCCAAGATGGAATTCCCTCAGTATTCTGCTTAGCTACTTGCTATGCAAACATAGCAAGTTAATGGCAAACACAATGGAATGAAACTTGCCAGAGGTGTAGCAGTTTTTACCAGCAAACAAGGATTTTTCCAAGTTAAATTGGAGGCATAGCCAAGATGAAACACACATGATAGCAGGCAACTAAAGCAGAATCTAGAAATAGTATGCAAAAAGCTGGGGTTGTTTTCAGAAAAGTCCAGACATAGAATTCATTCTTATTGTTCCCAGGGCTTCCCAAGCCCTAACCAGAGTTCAGCTGCCATATATTACAATCCTTACTCCTAAATATTACAGAGAAGTTGGATACTTCATCTTAAAGGAGTCCTACTGTCCTTCTTCATGGTCACTGTGAATCACACATATGGGTGCTGAGCCTGCACAAGTGCCTATGTTTCAGAAAATTCTCCTAGCTAAGCATAATTTTGATGGAAGCCCCACCCCACTGCTCCTAATATAAACAGATGGGGCTCCTGCCTTTTGTCAGTTTATTTTCAACTGCTGTTTTTGCTGCTCCATTGGGTTTCTTCCTAGCTTTAACTTTTTACTTCAGATTTCTAATTTTAATTAACTTAATTATCCTCACTTCCCACACTTTTACTTTTATACTTCTACTGTCTTTATTGTTATCCCCCCACTCTTTACCTCAGCTTTTTCTTCCCTTCCCTTCATTTTTCTATTCAACAGTGCAGAAGCCGGCTTTTCATAAGTGCACAAATTGTGGAGTAAAAATACCATCTACAGATAGGCATTTGCTCTGCTTCCTGGGTGAGGGTCACTGCATTGATAACTGTCTTCACTGCCAGGCCTTTACTAAGCAGGCCTGAAAGAACAGGGAAGGCCATCTAAAGATGGAGCTCTGGGACAGAGCCTTGGAGGCAATGCGGGAATGCTGCAGGGGCGAATCCCCTTCCGCAAGCAAAACCGCCTCAAAACCATCAACTCAAACTCCCAAACAGCCAGTTTCCTCTAACTCTCCAAAAAACACATAAGATGAAACACCTTGAAGCAAAAGAGCCCAAACAGACCAAAAAAGTGAAAGAAAAAGAAAAAACAAAGGCACAAATCGCCGAGCACTTCAACTCGACAGACCTCACCCAGCCAGCAACTCCAGCAATTACATCAGTGATGGCCCTGCCTTCAATCCTAGCATCCCCAGTTCTGCCTGTTCCAACCATTCCACCCTGATCAGAAAGACAACACATCCAGATGGGAATGGCTCCACTGACTTCCTTCCAAGAAAGAGAAAATCCAAGACTCCCCAGCCCGATGACTGATATAACCTCCATCACCAGACCAGTCTGTACAGATCCCAAGAAGAGAAACACAGCTGCCACTTCCTCCAACTCCATGCCCATATGGATAACTACTTGTATCTCCCAATCCATCACTAGTGTCAACCCACCAATGTGTTCATAGCCTCGAACTGGATGCTTATTCATATAGGAGGAATACATACTGGGCACCACCATATGCTGGACATTATGGACCTGGGTATCTGTGGGAGCAAATGCTATCCCTGCCACTGACCAGAGCTTGACCCCCTGACCCAAGGTACCCTCAATGCCAATGTCAAAATGAGGACTAGGCTCTGTCCACCTGAAGATGCAAACCAAAGAACATGTGCCGTCAGCCAGCTCTTCCTCCTCCCACATTGACTATGCCTCTGACTCCAATACACACCCAGAGAACAAAGAGGCAATTTCCACCTCACCAGACAATGCAGTCTCATTGCAGCACCCCGAATCACCAGGAAAGAATTTGGACTGTTTTTCGGAACAGGTCCTTCGTATGGCCACTTCACTGGGAATTCAAGCCCA